AGCAACATGTGCCCCCTCTTCCCATTCGAAGAATGCCTCATATGTCTCCACGCTGCCTAAGAATTCTCAAATTCTCTTCCGTGAGTCTATGGACTGGCTGGACGGCTTCTACGACCCCGCAGCCGGATATCTCTTCGACGAGAGTTCAGCAACAGCTCTGAGACACGAAACCAGAAGTTCTGCTTGGTATGCTGTCGGATTGCTGGCACGCAATGAGCACGATGATGTCAAAAACGCTCTTCAAATCATTACCAATGTCATTGAAGGGCAGTACAAGGAAACCAAGGATCAATGGTTCGTGCTATCAATCTTGTTCGCGAAGATAGAGTTGACGAGAAGCAGGTATGGTGATTATCAAAAAGAGCCCGAAGAGCCCACTGTGGGAACTGCAGCATATCCCGAGAATATTTACAACAGCTGGGACCCCAATTGGCGTGGCTTCATCAGCACTTGCTTCATCGTCGGTCTTGAAGAGTTTGGTCACCTGATTACTCCTGAGGTGACCTCCCTGATGGAGAAATCCCTTTACAACGCTACGAGAGGAGATGAATATCGCGTTGGAGGAGTTGATGATGACAACTTGTATCCTGCCTACACCAATCCTGTAAGTATCTTGCCAGAAATTATGAGAAATTTTTTGCTGACGACAGGAAGTCACTCATGCGAGCTTTTGTGTCGGGCTGGACCGGTCGCCGTCTAAACGACAGCAACATGACGATCTCTGGAGAAAACTATGCAACGGCAGTCATTGACTTGTTCAATCGTGCGAACACGCTGTCTGAGTTCAACAGTGGCACCTACACAGGGGTCTCTCTGTATGCTTTGATACTCTGGGCGAAGTATCTCCCAGATGACTCTGTCATGAAGCATAATGGAGCAAGAATGATTCAATGCACATGGGAAGCAGTTGCTCAATTGTGGCATCCGCAGCTGAAGAATGTGGCAGGACCCTGGGATAGATCATATGGATTCGACATGAACCGATATCTCAGTTTGCTCGCGCTGCACCTGTGGAACGTTATCGGCAAGGAAAAGTCATCCATCATTCCCAAGGTAAGTCCCCTACAAGTGAAAAGGGATGAAATATGAGACTAACAGAACGCAGACAGCAGCAATGTCCCACGTAGCGGACTGGGCATACGGACCACAGTTCGCAATCCTCTCCGCCTTCCACTCAACCCTCATCCCCGCAGCTGTGGTAGAAAAACTCAACAACTTCCAAGGTGAACACACTTTCACATCCTCAGCTTTCTCTCCCCCCTTCGACATCTATCCGCGCAACATCACCGCTTGGCTTGCGCCAAATGTAAGCATCGGAGCTGAGACCTTTAACGAAACGACCATTGGTGGGCCTGCGATCAATCCTGGAACTTTCAATCCGGCTATCATCCAATGGAATACTGGGGATGAGGTTGGATACATTACTGTAAGCTCACCTGTTGATCTTTGTCTAAGAGAACTTGTTGATCAGAATTTAGTGGTATGCCACTGAGCACGCACTCACAGCTGTCGCGAGCCCCAACAGCCTGAATCTCACTTACCCCTACGGCACCGCAAAATCAATCTTCTCCATCATCGTCGGGACTTTCAAAAAGACAAGGGATGTTTCATCTTGGGATGACGTCCAAGGTCTTTCAGTAAAAGTGTCTGGAAATGTGAACATGACGTTCTTACTTGGTTTTGCTGGGGAAAATGGAGGGGCCTATTCTACTATCAAGTAAGTATCAGTTCCGCCTTCCGTATTGATGGAAGTAGAAAGACTAATATGTGGATCCGCTAGTGATTTTGAGTTCTGGAACTTTACGTACACTATGCCAACAGGCTTTGTGGGAACTCCGAATCTGGTATTTGATGTTGAGCTGAAGTAGAAGTATTTGTACATGAGATATGACGGTAAAAGTGATGAATGATAAATAAAAGTAATAGCAGTAATGAAACCGAGTTCCCAAATAAGACTTTTTACTGACCTGAGTAAATTAAACCTCCAAATATGAAAGTAGTGCATAGGAGAGAACGTAGCGCAAAAGAAACGAAGTATTATAATACCCTAGCAAACAATCCCAACCTCCAAGGACCGGTTAATTATAACCTTATATCTGTACATGGAAAGCCACCCTCTCCACCCCCATTTCCGCTCCCATCAACCCCCTTCCCATCCTCAGCTATTTTCATCTCCTATTCCCTTACGCCAATCAAATCAAATCCACTCCCCATCCCTCCTCAGCCGTTGCTCTTCCATCCCCTGCTCTCCCTCACCAAGTCATCCCCCCCTCCTCGAACTCCCAATCCCCGTGGTACTAGGAATCCTCTCATCCACATCCGTCTCATCCTCACCCACCACCTTCTTCTCCGATTTCCTCAGCGGCGCTTTCGCATCAGAATCCTTTCGTGAGTCTTTCTTCGGCCTCGGTATTTCCTTCTTCGACGCCGTTGGATATCTAATAATCTTAGAGCTGGAAGGAACCGAGTCTGAAGGGGTTGTGGTTATGCGAACTTTCTTCTCCGGTGATTGCTTGGGTGGTGCTTTTTTGACGACGGGAGCTTTCTTCGGAGCTGCGGATTTCTTAACTGTTGCCTTTTTGACGGGAGCTGCTTTGGGAGCAGCAGATTTCTTGGCTGGTGTCTTTTTGGCAGCTTTCTTGGGTGGGGTCTTCGTGGCAGGAGGTGGCTTTATAACGCGTGCAGTTGTTGGTGTGTAAGATACTGCTTCTTTTGATGCAATTCGGGTGGATCGTCGTACTGGAGCTGCAGGTTGAGCTTTCTTTGGAGCCATGCCGGGAACGAAGATGGAGAGCTATTGTAAAGACGGTTGCTTGGAAAGGAAACACGCAAACCCTATTTCCAAAGAATGACTTAAACCGTTAATTTGAGAGTTTAGTAGGTTTAAAGATAAATAAGGAAACACATTTTGCATTCCTGGGCAGAAGGTAGAAGCATTCCTGCAAACTTGCGGAGGAATAACAAGACAGCATTCCCAAGCGAGAAGAGATCGTTTGGCGCATTTAAAATCTATTCCGGGTGTTTTCGAGACTACAACTTTGGTGCGTCTTCGAAGAGATTTCTGAACGCGACGTGGACCTGCTCTGTCAAATCACTCGCCTGCAGACTCCTCCCATTCTTCTTGAACGCCAATCTTGAGCATTCCTATCACGCATTAGCACAGAATTCACACCACACTGGAACTACTTACTCTCGTAATAGCGCTCCCCCCAAACGCCGCCAGGGCTAAGAGCTCAACCTCACCCAGTTCCCCATCATGTTCCCAGATTTTGTCCAGATACGCCTTCCTCCACGCCAAGAAGGTAGCCAACGACCCCGTCAAAGTATCCCCCTGTCCCCCACTCCTCTTCAAACCCCCCTCAAAATCGCTAACAAATGTCTTCTCACCATTAGAAATCCAATCCTCCTTCCCTTTCTTCACAATAGTCACCCCACCAAACGCCTTACTCAACGTCTCCGCCGCTTTCCCTGCCTCCAGCCCCTCAGGATCGATAGCCTTACTTTTACATAACCTCCCAAACTCCACAATATTTGGCGTTAGTATACACTCCTTATACCCCTGCACCAACTCTGGTCTCGTCTGCGCAAGATTCAACCCATCCGCATCCAGCACGAATGGCATGTTGATCTTTTTCGCTGCTTCTATAACCTTCGCACATGTATCATGCATCAATTGATCTCTTCCAAGCCCAGGCCCGATAACGAGAACGTGTAGTCGAGGCAGCATATCGATGACAGGTTTGGCGATGAAGGAGGCGGATTCGCCGGTGCTGGCGTGCGTGGATTGACGCATGAGTGGGTGCACCATTAGATTTGGAGAGTAGCTTTTGATTACTTGCGATGCTTGGGGTTCGCAGATTACATGGCTCTGAAGGGCAATGGTTAGTGGAGGTTGAAAGAGGGGCATGAAGGAGGGGAATGGGGACTTGCCATGTCACATCCTAATCGTGCCGAAGCCATAGCAGAGAAATATGGCGCGCCGGTGTAGTCTTCGCTGCCACCTATTACTGCTACTCTGCCCATTTGCCCTGTGGATTATTAGATTGCGGTTCGAGAGGGAGGGGGGTGGTGGGGTCACCATACCTTTGTGGAAACTCTCGAGCATTGGTGGGATCATCTTCCGCACTTTCAGCAGGGTGGCCCTGGTTGATTGGGACATTTTGGGGGCTTCGGATGACATTTGGAGATATCGAGAGAGTGGAAGTTGTGGTGTTGAGCTTCAATGGAGGGAAAATTGACGTACGTCGAGGCCTGAATATAGCATGATGTCACTCGAGGACTTTCGAAGCGAGCTTTTTGCAGGTGCGTCAGAGGAAAGCTCCTTTTTTAACATCTCATCCCATCCATTGATTTTCATCTCATACCATTATACATTCTTGCAACTTTAATAGAGTAATACGTAGTATAGTCTTTCATTAATCGCCTTTCGAATGGGTTTTGGTCAATGCTATGCTCTTTTTGGGTCGCAGCCGATTCCACGCATGCTCAGCTCGACGCGTCGCGTCACGTTCAGAATGTCCACGGGCACTTTTCAACACAATTCCTGCTGCTTGTGGCGGTTCATTAGCGAGTTTTCCAAGCGATGCCTCATCACTGTAATACCAAGCGTACAATTCGTGACACTTCCAAAAATCTGTGGGTGGAAAGCCTTGCTGATTTTAAGGGCAAGTGCTGCCAGGAAGATGCGGCGCCAGGGGTGTTTTAGCTTCTCTTCTTTCCCTTCCTCGCTTTCCCTAGGATGATCCAACTGTCGATTCGCTATGTCGCTGACAATAATGTCTTCTCGCAAAAATAATTGCCTTGCGACATTTGTAAAGGTGGCTAACCAACAAGAAAACTATTTCCGAATCAAAACTACTTACATTTCTATTCACTGAGCATGTAGAGTAAAAGTCCCAAAAAGCCCCCTAAAATTAAAAAACAACAAATCTTTCCACGACCTGCTGCCTAATTCACATTGAAGGGAAAAAATGGCAAAAAAAGAAAAATATATGTTAGAGTGCAACCGCCGTGAATCGAACACGAACCTCCACCTAAGCTCACTGATGAGTGGAAGGGTGGAATCCTAACCATTGGACCACGGAAGCCTTTGAGTTGATTTGTCATCTTTATACTTATTCAAGGCTATCAAGGTCAAGCTTGCCGAAGGTGGAAAACAATCAAATTATTTCCGGTTAAGTACGCTTGTGTTCGGTAGAACAACCCTGGTCACAACCCCCTTACTCCCGACCAAAAACTTTTTGGACAAGCACTTCAAAATGTCACATATTTCTCCCCAGGGTGGGCTTGGATCATTTAATATCCGCATCAAGCCTTATGTATCTTGAGGAACTCGCGACGCTCTGGGCGTCTTGGGACCTTCTCCGACGATACATTTAACTTTTTCGGGACAGCAATGGGCAGATGTAAGGCGACTGCTGAAGATATTTGTTTGAATAGATGCTTGCAATGACAAGGCAGGGAAGGAAATCTTTAGCAAGATGATGCAAACTTTTGACAGCAAAGTAGGCGCGGATGGTATCAGTTCGCTCAGTTCTGAGTAATCCATCGCTGTCCTCTAGGTATATTAGGATACAGCTATTATTCACACACAGCTCGGTTATGCAGTTGTCAAGAATTAGATTTGTTATATTAATTGGTGACCCTAATTTCCCACCGCCTAAGACCAAGTCGGCCGTTCATAAATCATAACAGCCAAGACCCAGATAGCACGCTAATTTACAGACACCAGCAGAATCCCCTACCCTATCACCGGCGCCGCGGCTTCTTACTCAACGTTAATAACTGCACAATCGTTCCTCCTTTTGGCCCCCCCTTCCTCTCCGCATACTCCAAAACCGATTCCCCATTCTCCCCAACTCCACTCATGTCCGGATCAGCCCCATTCCCTAGCAACAAACTAACCACACTCCTGTCACCCCTATATACGGCCCTATAAAGCGGGCACTCTCCCCCAGGACTCCTGGTATCGGTCCTCGCTCCATGGCTAAGCAGTAAAGCAACGACGCCAGTATCACCCCTCAACACCGCCCTATACAATGGCGTCTCTCCTGCTTCTGTATTCTTGGCCTCCGCGTCTGCGCCAGCTCCCAACAGCAACGAAACGATCGAAGTATTACCCTTGAATACAGCTCTATACAACGCCGGTTCTCCCGTTGTCAAATTCCTTGTGTTCGGGTCGGCGCCTTTCGCAAGCAGGAGGGAGACGATACTCGTGTCTCCCTTGCCCACGGCCTGCAGCAAAGGTGTCTCCCTCGCTCGATTCCTCTCCTCAACATCCGCTCCTCGCTCCAACAACAGGTGCGTGAGTGATGAGCTCCCTCTCGACACTGCTATATTGAGCATTGAATCTTGATCAGGCGGCACATGTGCAGAGTTCGCTCCCTTCCGCAACAACTGCTCCGCAATACCCGTTTCGCCCTTCGAAATAGCTGTATATAGCGGGGTTTCACCCTTCGCGTTCTCCGGCTCCAGATTGATATCTTTCTGGGCCAGCAGAGCTGATATAATGGACGAGTCTCCTTTGGAGGCGGCTATAGAGAGTGGAGCTTCGCCCTTAGATGACCGCGCTGCTGTTGAAGCGCCGAATTCGAGGAGGAGTCTAACCATGCTGGTGTTTGATTTTGAGACGGCTCGGATGAGAGGTGTATCCCCGTCTTTGTTTCGCTCTTCTGTATTTACCCCTCGTTGGAGGAGTGGTTTAGCGAGCGATTTCTGGTCAAAGTTGACCGCCAAATTCAGCATGCTCTCCTGTCCCGCTGGTCTCGAGTTCGGGTTTGCGCCGTGTTCAAGGAGAATCGAAGCACAGTCCTTCCTCTGTTTCTTAATCGCCAAATAAAGCGGTGTCTCGGCTGTGAACGAGCCTGCTTCAATCGACATTGTACTGCTCCCTAGCAACAGCTTGAGAATCTTCCCTCGGTCATGATACACAGCTGTATGCAGCGCCGTATTCTTATCTGCTCCTCCTCTTACATTTACATTCGCACCAGCCTCAAGTAGTAATTGCACAATCCCTTTCTCGCCCTTCGATACGGCGCGGAAGAGAGCAGTCTCCCCCTTTTTGTTGAGGGCTTCGATTTCTGAGTTGCCTTTTTGGAGAAGAGCCTCAACTTCTGATTTCTTTCCACGGGCGACGGCTTGATGGAGCAAGGTTTCTTGCAATTCGGGCGGTGGACGTTTCGTGAGGAGGTTGGAAGAGGAACGTCGTGGAAGAGAAGGGGATGGTGACGGGGACGAGGAGAGGGGGAGGTCGGCGGAGACGTGAAGGCCGCGGGGCTGGAAGAAGCCTGCGTTCCATTGAGAGATTACAGCTTCGATTCTGATTCTTCGGAGTCGTTCACCTGGGGTGGGATTCTGGGTATCGGGAGAGTTGGGTTGTAGTAAAGGTCGTGATCGCTCGGATGGTGATCGACTTCCTGAGCACGAAGGTCCTCCCGTAAATATAGGCCCATTGCTAAACGATGATGGACCACTCGAAAAGAGTTGTGCGGAGGCACCTAATACCTTCCCTTCATCCCTCTCTGAGATCTCATCATCCACAACCCCCTGATCCGGAAAAATATGATTGCGAAATGTCATCCAATCATGCTCATCTACATCTCTCCTCTTCCATTTCTCTTTTGGCGTAGGAAAAGGCAGGTCATCAGGCAATGCCTGGGGAGGGATGATCATGTGATGAAATATTGTGTCTGCTGGTTTTGGTTGCGTTAAAGAGCGCAGCTCGAAATATGGGAGGGCCGAGACGAAACCTGACTTGCGAAGTTCGTCGGGGTTGGGAGGTGGCGTGTTTGTGGTTGCTGATGGGGGCGCAAGGATCGGGATAATGGGCGACCGACTAGGCCCGGCTGGAGATGATGGCGATGGAGTAGCTGAGAGGCCATGATGAGTAAAAAACCCAGAGGTCACAGTCGCAGGTGGAGGTGGGATAGATGCGTTGAAAGATTGAATCGGTTCCGGATTGAAGGGTTGTGAGGTCGTGTTGCGATGAGGGTCCTCGGGAGAGTAAGGTGGGGGTGGGAGGTCGAGATCGTTGTCGTCCATTTTGAGTTGGAGACAGAGTGATAGTTGAAAGGAAAGAGACGTCAGAGAGGAGAGGGGTTGAAATAAGATAGATAACCTTGACTTTAAGGTTCGTTGTTTTAGCTTGATAGTGGAGGCTCAGCCGTTCATGGACTTGAGAGGTGGTCTGTCGTGGCTGCGCCCTGGTACGCGTCTCCAGGCAGCAATTTAACAGCCAATCATCAACCCAGCAGTCCCCTTTGGAACCTATACACCGTATCTTACATGACGATAAGGGAAAGGTAAACTCTCTTCAGAAAGTCAGGAATTCTTGCGAATAGAAAAAAGCTAACCCGAGTGAAATATTTTCGAAGGGAGAGGAAAGTCATGCCAGAATGTTTGAATTCAGGGGCTTCTGCCCCGCATTGCCCCGCACTTGCCCTGTGAGTTGGGTGTCGACGGTTTCAATGCTTGAAACTCCAGGGGCTGCGACGTACTTACACGTCGAAACCTTCCTTCCAACATGAGACACTTTATCGCGATGAGATAATTCCGTCAAATCCCTGGATTTTGGACTCAATGGGAGGAGTGTTTTAAATAACGAGAAGAACCTCTTTTCAATACAAAGAGGGTTGGCCAAACCTCTACAGTTGATATTCAGGCGGTCCTTGCCGTCCCGTGCTTCGCAGGAGCAGAAAAATACTCTAGACACTATCAGTTCGATCTCAAGGATTTCATTTTACCCAGCCTAATTTCGAATATTTGAAAGACTCAGTTATCTTGTGCGTATTTAAACCAATTTTCCCTGAGAGCCGTTGGGATTTCTCGAAGTCTTCTGCCTGGTGGCCAGTTTTATGTTCCGCAGAGGTACGTGAACCGAGAGGAGACCGCCTGCTGCATTTTATATTAGCCTTCTCTCCTTAACATCCAGAATCTTCTGTTGCTCCGAATATTACCACAAGGGTTAGAAATTCTGAAGCAGAACGCTTCATGATATTGCTGTATCATGTGTCTCTGTACAGATATTGTGTAATTACTCTCAGTGCAAGAGCTTACCTAGACCGGCGACAAAAGGTTATTTTACGACTGGAGCTTTGATAAGACACAGATCATTCCAATATGCACCGTTGAGAAAAGAGTATGTTTGATCTCAGTTAAAAAATATACAATTTATATTTGAAGGGTGAAGTGCGAAGCGATGAAGACGAGTTTCTCTATGCCGGTTACCCATTTAGTGAGCACCAAACACCTGCCGCGCATAAACACCATTACACACAATCGAATCTTATGTTTCAAACCACGTCATCTGGACTCTACTGATCTGAGAGGAGAGGCATCAGACTTCCAATGACGTCCAGCATTTTATCCATCTTCCTCACTCTCCAACTGTTTATACCTGCTAATTATATTGAGATACGAATACAGGAATCATACCTATGATCATCAATGATTCAATCATCTTAAAGAATTAACACTAGTACACGTGAGAAATCTGTACAAGACGAAATTTGAGTAGTCAAGACCGGATCGGAACTCGCGAAAGTACGCAAGCAATTCACGCACCTCCCGTCGCGCCACGATCCTAAAATTACAATTAAAATTGCGCGAAAAGCAGCCAATAGAGCTCAATGATCAGATGTCCCATTCCTTTCTCACCAAGAAACTGGAGGCTACTGTAGCTGCTTGGCCAAGTGCAATCCAGCAGCAGTATGCCAAAGCCTTGAATCCACTTTCTTCCCCTCGGCCGAGTACGCCAATAGCTTCTCATACAGCTCCACCAGCGGTACAATGACGAGCTCAATAAACTCCCCCTCTTCCAAGTCTTGTTCTGGCTGCAAATCTTCCTCCCCTAGCACCACTTCCACAGTCGCCAATTTCATGTTACCTGTGCTCATCCCCGGATTACTCACAACCGTCGGACTTATCCCAATTACACGTCCTACATATCCCGTCTCCTCCTTAAGCTCTCTCTCAGCCGCCACCTCGGGCGTCTCCCCCGCATCAATCAGCCCTGCTGGGAACTCAACACAGATAGCGTCAACTGGAGGTCGATATTGCAAGATGATGATGGTGGCTGGGGGCCGTGAAG